GGTGGCCGAGTGGTTAAGGCGGTAGCCTAGAAAGCTACTCTCGTCAGAGTCGCAGGTTCGAGTCCTGTCCATGTCGCACCCATAAATGGATCGTTGGCCGAGTGGTTAAGGCGATAGACTTGAAATCTATTCTTGAAAGAGTCATAGGTTCAAATCCTGTACGTTCCGATTCGTATCATTTTTTTATATTTTTTTTGAGCTATGTAAGAGTTTTACTATCGCCAAAAGAAATTGTCAAAATTTAATCAAAAAACTAAACTTTTAAATCTTCTTTGAGCTTGGGAATTCAACCCGTCTCAGGAGACGTTTGGCGCCCGAGCTCGGGCGGTCGGCCGTTTTTGGCGGCGTTTGAGGGCTTCTGCACCGCGGGGGGGGCACGGGGGATCGCGTGGTAGCAAAATCTCGCAACGCGGCTCCTTGCGCCGCGCGTGGGCGCTCGAAAAGCGCCGAAAAAAATCGGTCGATGCGGTGGTTCCGGGGCTCAACTTTGGCCACGGTCGTCGACTGGCGCGCTGCCTCTTCCGGCGACGTCCCCTGGCCCCGGGGGGTGCGTACGAAGCTCTGCGGCGCCTGGAACTGCCGGGCGGCGACGGTGGAGCGGCTCGGGGCAAAACGCCCGAGCGCTGGATCTACCCGGCTCTTCGAGCCGCTACTTCGGCGCCTTCCCGTCGTGCTCTCCGGCCATGTAGGGCCCCGGGCTGCCAGTCGAGGGGGGGGGGGCGGCGCGCCACCGTATCCCCTGTCCGAGCGCCTTGGCTAGGGTGCAAAATGAGCTCCTGCACGAATACAGGCGCAATCCGCCTGTATTCGTACAGTTTATGGGCCCAGTGAGGCCGGTTGAATTCCCAAGCTTTGAGCAACGAAGGGTCTTCGCCGTTTAATCAACGTCAGTTTACGGCAAGGGCCCTTCGGGTCCTTTGATTGAAGGATTAGAGAGCTTCAGCTCAAAGTGACACCCTATCGAAAGTGATACCCTATCAAATAAAACCCCGTTAAAAGCCCGTTGATATATAGAGCTTGCAGTGATCTCTCCGTTCAACGGACCTCGTACAACTCTCAAACTCGCGAGCCAAATCAAAGTAGTACCTAGGTACTACTTTGGCCCGAGGGCAACCCCGAGGCACCCCAGTCGACTCCCGTCCCGGGATCGATGGTGCGCAGTCAACAAGCCCATGCGCAGACGCCCGTCGATTTTCCGCATGGTGCGTCGACTCTAGCGGAATCGGCGTTTTGGGTACTTGTGTTCGAGTTCGTACCCACCTGCGATGCGCTGTCGCGGCCGGTTCCGGGCACTGCCGGATTGGTTGCGGACGCCTGCGCGCAGTTCCCGCCGGTTGCCGGCGCGTGGCGGGTCCCGCAAGGGCCCGAACGCATGCTCCTCACACGCCT